CGACATCCACCCTACAAATGAATCACATGTGCAAGGGCCGACCCATACGCCTCCTAAATCTAATATTCATCACACCAAAATAGCTCTGAAAGGAGCACAAAAGAGGAGACGTCGTGGACTGATCACACTGCCATGGTTAGTGTCACGCCATCAGTGCCACAATGACGTGCCTTTGATACCCCCATAGGTGGTTAGTAGCTCAATTTACCCGGTGTTGAATTGTCACAACGAATGTGACATTATATGTCTTACATATGGTCAACAAATAACGAAATCAAACGAAAAGTCAAACATAAGTCAAGTAAGGAATTATGTTGAATAAAAAAGTAGTCGTAATAATAAAGAGGCTCAATTTGAATAATACATAATCGATCAAAAGTACCAACATATGTACTTTTAGAGGTAAAAATCATACCAAAATGTTACCGAATAAATAAACATATTATTTTGGAGAAAACACATACTTGTACCAACATTGACCCACCTAATAATATGATTAGAAAGTGGTTTTTTTACAATATGTACGACATAGAACAATTGTAAGTGAATGGAAATGCAGTACAAAAAGAATATCAATAATTGTGAGTCAATTAATCCGAGTTGAAAGAAAGCTTAAGGGCTCGTAAACATATGTAAACGAATCAAATGAATGAATAGAATTAGGAATCCGTACCTTAAACTTTACAACCCAAGTTTATTCATTTATATCTGCCCTAAACAAACACCCAAACTTACTATTAATCCTAATTGATAACTTGATGGCATAACGAAACTAAATCACTTTAACGACTAATAATGTAACTAAACTCAACTAAATCCTATCAATTAATATGCCACTATGGGAACATAAACAAATATCATGGAAGGAAAGTTGTCTAAAACTCCATCTATGGAGTGAACCGTGGCAACAACTTACCAAACAATGGAAAAAAAGAAACACATAAACTAGATTTATCTATCAATATATATATGTATGTGTATATATATATATATATATATATATATATATATCGGGGCTGGTTCAAATGCTAACCAAGATTATCATGTTAACTTTGTTAGCCGATTTTGGCCATTAATTTGAATAATAAACAGTTGTGATTTAATGATATTTAAAAATTAATTATTAAATTAATATTTTCAATTAACATATGTGAACAAAATATCAAATGGTATTTAGGTAAAAAGTAATCTATCTTTGATACACGAGTTGTTAGACATATGAACAACTTGTGTATATCCTCAAAACACATCAAACAAAAAAGATTAGACATATGAACAACTTGTGTATATCCTCAAAACACATCAAACAAAAAAGATTAGACATATGAACAACATGTGAACCGTATGAACATCTTCTGTATCAGGAGCCAACTCTGTTGTATGTACATGAACACCTACGAAGCTTGTGTTTACATGAATCACATATACTGTTCATATTTATGTGATGTGATTGTGCATATGTATCGATATGAACATCTATTGCCTTTGATATGTGTTCATTTAAACGAATTTAAATGTCATACTAATTTCTTACCAATAGGAACGCTTTGATCATTTTCTTCATTATCGGAATTCGAATTGCAAATGTAGTCGTAGACGATTTTGTCATTTCCATTGTTGTCAATCTGTTTTACAATAGGATTATCCATATTAATCTGATGATAAGGAAATCTTTTACACTTACGAAAACAATATCATTATATGTAGAACATCATTTGTAAACTATGATCATGAACACGTATGAAATAAAATTCAATATTACATCATGATCAATTAGTGAGATCTTTAAGATTTGTAACTCCCAATTAATTATTAGGGAGTTACATAAATGTCAAATTACCTGATTACCCTTGTATTTAATAAATGAGTTACATTTGAACATAAATAAAAGATGAAATATGATTGATTAAGCTTGGTTAGTATTTGAATCAAGCTCTCTCTCTCTCTGTATATATACATATATATATATATATATATATATATATCCATACTATGCAAACCACATAAGAAGTTTACGCTACTGAGACCCGACTCCCTTTCGGACAACCCCCTCCCAAGTAGATAAGCAGTCTAAATGAAAATGTCACGTCTTTCGGACGGCTAAAAAAAAAGCAGCAAACTCGACTGAAAATCGAGTGTTTTGACCCGGGTTTTTTTTGGCGATTCACATAATTCTTTTGGCGATAAAAAACGAGAAGAATTTTGGGTTCTAAAGACGATTTTGACAAACACCTAGTTGCTGCCATTATTGTTTAATCGAATCGGTGACCTTCGAGTCACCGGAACAACTCAAATCTTTCTTTCCCAATATTAATAACCCAACTACTAAATGTATAAATTTGAGACTAGGACATAAACTTACCTCGAACCGTCAAGAAATCAATGGAACCTTGCTTGCTTTTGGCCGTCGAGTTCCCTCCTAGGTTCTCGATAGACTCTTCCAAGCTCTTACGGTTTCTCTCTAGCGATTGTCACAATTAGGGGAGTTAGGGTTGGGTTAAACAAGATAAAACCTAATCTACATACATAGCCCAAGCCCATCATTCAAATTGCAAAGTCAAAGTGAGTTATGCAAAACTAACCTCTCAAGATTGGTCAACTTTCTAAACTAACCCAAACTTCAAATATATATATATATATATATATAGGAGTGATCATATGAAAACCGCCCTCATTTGTGTAAACCGTGCAAATCACCTTCATTAGTCGATTTCATTGTTTAATCTTATGAAATTTTTTCATGAAATTGTTTAATCTTGTGAAATTGTTTCATATAATACNTTAACACCCTCCACAATAAAAATTATTAATCAACCTCTCATAATTACAAAAAAATGAACAAAATGAAAAATTATGATTGGTTGAATGCGGTTTGCATAGTTTGTACAAATTGAGTGGTTTGCATTTGATCGCTCCCCTATATATATATATATATATATATTTATTTATAGACTTGCACTGATATATATACATACACATACACATATCCGACATATATTATATACATGCTTATAAGCTAGTTTTTGTCAAACATAATTTATTCATTAGCTAGCTTATCAACTAACAGCTAATTTACCAGTTATCATCTAGGTTATCAAATAGTTTGCCAAACATAACCTAAAAATGGTTATAGATCCCAAATATTTAAAGCTTCTAAGATACATATAATGTCCTATAATTTAAAAAATTCTACTTGTAGATGTATAATTTGAAATATGTATATATTTTAGAAAAAATGTATTTTTAGAAACACAATAAATTTCACCTATATCATCATTATATATTAAAATAGATATTTCTAGAACTATAAACATCATAAATACATTTTTGAAAAAGGAAATTGATCAAAATAATCAAATGATTATCCCTTGTTCAGTTATTATTTTTTAATTTGTATAAAAGTAACTGCAATTTCATAAGTGTCAAGTTCACAACTTGTGAAATGTATTTTCTTATATGAAAATATGATTTGGGTGAACCATTTAACAAACCAACACCACTAAAATCGTATTTAATTCAGAAAAAGTACATTTTGCAAATTACAAAATAAAGATTTACAAAATCATGACAACTTTGGTCTAAACAAAAAACTAGTCTAAAATATAAATAGGTGGTAATCATTTTATTATTTTACTCAACATTTCGGGCCCGTTTACCAAACGCTTACTTGGGTCAGTGAACACAAAGTCACATTACCTTATCAGATGAATATGGTAAGGACCAAGAATCTTATCCAGTAAGAACGAGACAAGGACCAAGAGTCTTATGCGGTAAGTAAGGACGGCGACTCTTACTACGATAAATGCTTATCGGGTAAATTGTTGGCATATGATACCATTTTTATAGACTAAAATCTTACCACTAAGTAAATGATAGTATTAAATTTCACCAGTAAGGTCTTACGGGGTAAGTGTTTGGTAAACGACTCTTTCCTATCAAATGGAGCAATTATCTAAAATAGAGAAAATTTTGGATTTTAAAAATCTCCAAATATAAAGAATTCTTTTATAATGTAAGATTTTATTAAAATCTTAAATATTTTAACAAAAACCCTTAGAATTAATAATATAATGAGTAAATTACATATTTGGTTATTGTGGTTGTATCAAAATTATGGATTGGTCCTCCAAACAAATTAATTACAATAATCATCATTGTGGTTTCTATTTTATTGCGCATTAGATCCCTCAACCTAACTCCGTTTATTTTAGTATTGTTAAGTCAAGGATATTTTGATCATTTTACCATTTCTCGTTGTGGACGAGTGAGACCGCAGCTGCAAGATCAAAACCCAATAAAAATGGGTAGTTCCACATGGGCGATCGGGTAGACGAGTGAGGGATGAGAAGGAAGGGTATGGGTGAGGAAGAAGGAAAGAAAAGAGAAATGGGGGAGGTATAGGGGTTCATCAACGAACTGGAGAGGGAAAAGGGTTTGTCGGAAAAACAAGAAGAAGGTCGGACAAGGGGGAGGTCGATTGGTCGTTCTTTGGCTAAACAAGGGGAGGTTGTTTATTTACAATCATATATATATATATATATATATATATATATGTGTGTGTGTGTGTGTGTGTGTGTATGTGTGCGTGTGTGTGTAGTGCAGTGTAGTGGTGAACAAAGTTAAGTGTAATGAGGGTGCCAAAGAAAGGGTGACGTCGGAGGAAAGGGAGGCCGAGATTAATGGGGAAAATCAATGGTTCACTGGTGTTGGTCATCGTGTTTTTGTGTGTGTTTATATAATTTTTTTAGTTTTTAAAAGAAAATGTAAAATGACTAATATACCTTTGGTTTAACGGAACTAAGTTAATGGAGTTAAAGGGAGGGGTCCAATCCATAACAAAATTAAAACCATAGGGACTAAATTTGTAATTTACTCTAATTTAATATTTTGGATTTAGATTTTAATTTTGAAGATGGTCTAAAATAAATTTGTTCCCAACAGGGAAACGTGTGAAGGAGGATGTAAGCTAACTCCGTAGCTCGACCTTTGTTTTGATAGGTAGGTCGGTATTGCCAAACTTGCTCCACACCACTCATTTGCACAAATAACCCCAAATTCAAAACCCTAATTCATCTCGATTTCTCTTCCTTGATTCATTTCTTTTCCAATTATCCATTCATCCTTGGGCGTTTTCTGGTGTTCAATTTGTAGGCCTTTCTAATGGGGTGAACCGATTGTTATTTGCTCTGCTTTTTATGGAGTGGGACAGCAATTCTGATCTGAGCGGAGACGAGGAAGGGTTTTTATTGAATGATGGAGGCTCACTGCCTTTCCCCGTCGACACCCTGCTTCAACCGGCGCCCTGTGGCTTCGTTGTTACGGATGCACTGGAACCCGACCATCCAATTATTTACGTGAATTCTGTTTTCGAGATCATAACTGGGTATCGCGCTGAAGAAGTTCTTGGTCGTAATTGGTGAGTTGTGTTTTTAGATAACTTTAGATAACCTGTTGTGAATTTGGTTTTTCTTGCATGATGCAATTGTTGAAGGCTAATGTGTTTTGGGGCTTTTGAGTTAGGAATAAAGAGAATTCAAGTTCCTTCTTGCTATAGTTACTATCGTTCAAAATATGCTTGGATAAGTTTTCTTATACGGGGAAAATGTTATATGCTTGGAAATAAATAATAAACTCTTAAGCGGATTTGGAGTATCTATGAAAGTGTTCCGAGTATCATTATTTGTATTTACAAGCAGAGTAAAGCTCCATACTGAAACAAACTAGTATTGTTTTTATAGTTTTGCATTGGGAATCATCAAACTTCTGGGTACTTATATGTTTAGGGGCATCAGGGGTTCTTTAGAATAAAAAAAGGACAGAACATCTATCTTCTACTTAGAAACAAGAGCTCTTTTATGGATCATTAAAGAAATGCTGTTTGTTGCTACTTGCTGTAATCGTTACTAGAGTTAATTCTCTCTCTTTTGGTAGTTAAAAATGGCATGATAGATACAATTTAAGCTGAACTTCCTTAATCCTTATTGTCTAGTATTGATGGCATGCCCAAAGAACTGTATCAAGGCCTACACCTCATGACCCCACGGTTAGAATAGATTAGGAACATTACCATATGAAGGTTTGTTGTACTGAACTGTCAGTGCACCAAGTGCAGCCAATGATTTTTTCACTACCCCATATGTTACATGGGAAAAAGTTTATTGCAACTAATTTCATAGGAGTAAATTGGGAATTAATTTTCTAGGTTGGTTTTGTCTATTTCTAGACTTTGTGTATACTTCTGCCAAAATAATGACGTGAGCTTATTCCTTTTCAACAGCTCTCTAACTGGTGCTTGATGTTCGTAGACAGGGATTGGATTGTTGTGAAACTACTTCATACTCTAATGTTGACATAAATATATTCTAGTTCGAAGATTAGCTAGGTTTTTTGGTAGGCTAAACATATGCTGGTCTAGATCATTGATCAGGTTATTGCCTTGTTGGCTTGCCCTTAGGACAGGCATTTTCTAGTCTGCTTTTAGTTGTAACCCAATTATTTGGTCTTCTTGGTTCGTACTCATACCAACAGGCATGTGTCTTCCCTCTCATCTTTGAGCTAGTGATCAAAATGACTTTGACCATTTGTCTTCCCACTTTGGAATCTCCTGCTAAGCTGCTACATTATGGACTTGTAACATTATGTAGCAGCAAACGTGATGATTATTTATTTCCGACCATCCGTAAACCATATATTATGGTAGCAACGAGCCAACGAAGGAGAACTAGAAGTCTAGAATATAGAATTTGTCATTTGACGCTTTAGTTTCTTGGAAAGATAATGAATTGATATTTGCGTTTATTGCTGTATGGATATGGACTTATGGTTTATGCAAATGAATTTTTAGTACGATGAATAGATTTGACGCCTGATTGATTGTTTTGGTACTTGATAGTATTCATTGATATCTATCCACTTTTGCTCCTATGGTGTTGGAAGATCTATTTGATATATGAAATAGAAGTAAGAAAACAGATATTCTGTGTAAAGACTGTCACTGGCCTTAAACATGATATAGTTTTTGCTAAAGGCTGCTGAAAGGAATGATCTCTGGCCCGTAGGTAATAATAGTCATGAAATTTCATTTTTTTTTTTTGTCTCCATTGGAGTTTTTCTTTATGTCTTGGAGTGTATTCTCTATGAAATATCCCAAATGTACTGTTACCAGCACCCTATCTCAAGAGGTAAAAAATTATATAGATCAGATATATACGATATACATAGATGTGGAAAAATATTTGAAGTAGCAGCATATTCTAGTCTGAGTTTTGTATTGTACCAGCTAATAGTAAGTTCATTATTGACTTTACAATTAGCTAATAGCAAATAACGACCATATCTGCATTTTAAATGATGTTATCCTGTTACTTTACTGCTGTTGTCACATGTTTTGGATGCCCTTAGCTTTTGCTCCTCACATTTTGCCTAGTTTTTTTGTTGGCACCTTTTGTTTTTGGTGTTGATGTTTTTGACCAATACGTATGAGTGATTTCACTATTATACTCCTGTGCTTAAACTCTCGACTTGTATGGATCCTGCTTTGATTTAGTTAACCTTTTTTTTTCAAGTTGTAAGTGATTGATTGCCAATATAAACCATCTCAGCCTTTGGTCAGAACTGAGATTTATTTTATTTTCTACCAAAACTTTTGCAGGGTCCTAGACTTTAGAAGGTGTAATACTCTTTTTGGGAGAAACAGAATTAACACCTATTAAGAAATGAGAAACAGAATCCACATTAGTTGTTTGCTACCATGTTACATCTGTATTTATGTGTTCACTCAGAACATAAAATATATGGATTGAAATTCATCATGTCTCTACAATGGGAGTAGGACTTTCAAAACAAAAGGTCTGTCAGAGAAATCATGAAAATGAAAATTTGGAAGTGCTAGAATTGGAGCCATATATGTTTGGTGCTGAGGGTCGAATGTACATTGAATACGATATTGGTTCATTGGTTTCAAATTTTCTGCCTAATTGTTTCAAGAACACTGTATTTTTAACTTGTGCTGGGAATTTGTTCACATTGACAGATTCATACACATGGTAATGTTTGAATGAGTTGACCAGTTGACGAGGACCGACGTTGCAAGGGAAACCCTTAGTTCTATTGAATTGTATCTTATCTTCTTTACTTTTTGTTTTGAAAACAATGCCCATTGTACTAATATGAAGACCTATAAAATCTAGTTTTTAAGACTGATTTCTTTTAGGTTAGAATTCTAGATCTTAGTTATGGTTCAAGATTTTTTTTTGAATGCCTCTTGTTTTTTTTACAATAGCTATCAAGTTGCCCCATAGGTGATAAGGCACTTCTGGTGGTGCAAGGATTCTAATCAACTTGGGTAGGGATAGCTAGGTGAGATAGGTGGTTACAGGTCACATTGCTGTATTTGATGATTTCCTTGGATGCTTTTTTTTCACACAGCCGGTAGCATGTTAATAGCTTCCATCTACTTATTCCAATATGACTGCTTGTGTTTTTGCTCTTTCCCTTTGGGTTGTTACGTATGAACCCTAGTCCCTAGGTATGAAGAGACCACCGCTGACTGTGCAAGTTCTTTCACACAATTAAACAATTTACAATGATATCTACAACCGGATTTTATGATGTACACACAGACACACACATATAGATGCATGCTTTAGCATATGAAATTGTATACTGGAGTAACTCTGAGGTGAAATGTAATGTGATACAGAATAGCTTCATAAAGTGCACATCATAAATGACTTCGCATTCACGAGCACCTTATGGCCTTGACTCGGCATTATGCGTCTTTGTTTCGCCTTTGTGTCATAACAGTATTTATAGTCCATATGTTTAGATTTTGTTACTTCTGTGATGGTGGATACAAACCAAACACAGTGTTATATATTTACAGCTGAATGAGGGATTGTGTTGTCTATCTTCTGCTACTTGTATGCATAGATATCAACAGTTCAACACTAGTAATCTGTCAAGCTTGCAGGTTATGTGGAGCTTGACATAAAGTGAGGTAAGTGGGTTGATTGATCCGTGACTACTAAGAGTTGGATGAGTACTTAAATTGTGATGATTCACTTTTTATCTATTATATTTAGTATTAGTTTATTCACACATTTAAAATATTGCTCACTTCCTTTTTGAGGTGAGAAATTAGGATCCATACCTTAAGGAAACTGAATCAATGCGACAGGAAGAGAAGGTTTTGATGAGGAGTCTATGAAGAGTAACTGGAAAATTGAATCAATGAGAAATTGGAGTTTTGAGTGGTAGAAGATGATAGAGAAAGATGAAAATACAAAGTCGGCAATGAGATATTGAGGTAGATGGCCTAGGCTCTGGAACTTAGTTTTGTTTGTTTGCTTGCGATGGCTGACAGTAAAAACTTGAAACCTAAGAATTCACAGTTTTTGATGAGTGCTTGAAACTTGCAATTATGTTTTGTATTTGCTACATTTTGGAAGTTCTTAAATTTTTGGTAGCCAAATAATTAAATAATTTGCATCAATATAGATTCTGGCGTGCTTATTTGTCGCCTTTGTGTGCGGTTAGTTGGAGAAACAGCCTAACACTAATTACTTATAGAAATGCAATACAACTTTTGACCTTACCAATTTTCTTTTTAGAGCATCTGGTTATGTTGCTTCTTTGTGACCTGAAGGTCATAGGTTCGAGTGACAAAAGCGTCCTCTTCGCAAAATGCAAGTGAAATGCTATTTTCAGGGACTTCCCTGTCAAACTTGATTGGTGCATGGGTTGTCTTTTTCGGAGCACATGAATTTGATTATATTTTGTTTTTTTGTTGAGATGGATATTTGACATACGTCTTTACTTCGTTCTTGAACTGAAATGTCTATCATGTGCAACCTGTTTGCAGTGGCTTAACAATAATTTGAAAATAAATACCTTGCAGAAAACAAAATAATTCAAGTTTCCAGGAAGCATGAATAGTATCATTGTCTAGCCCCATAATCTGATTTTCCCAGTGCCCTTTTCCGCTTAAGGTGGACCATGAGGTTACTCTGTTATATCGGCTTGTCTTCTTCCTTGTAATGTGCCTATAACGATGATGTTATTCTGCGTATGATATTCCCATAAATTGTGCATGGCATTATCCTGAACTGCCCAAGAAAAAGGAGGCTTATTTGACCTTTGAGTGTCAAATATTTTACTTGCGTAAATACTTAAACAATGAATTATTTTAGATTGTTAGTGACAGTTATGTTCTCTGTTGTGAACTCTTCGCATGATCTAACGATGTGATAGACTTTTCTGCATGGTAATGAGTTCTTATCGGGCCTCGTAGTTAAAAGTTTTCCATGACACTCAAATGTGGATGTTTCCATTTTAAACTCTATTATAATATCTCCCTTTTGGTCGTTAAGTAGAGTCTCACATTCATAGTATAGGGATATGTGGAACAACTGATATCATTTGTGAGTGGAAGTATACACTGTTCCTGCATTAGGATGAAAAGCATAAAGCAAAAAAGCAATCATAATTCATCAATGCAAACATATACGAAGTCTGTTTGAAGAAGTAGACGGGTTAATGGCTTAGGATCAGAGGGAGTTTCTAGTTCCATTTTAGCGACCTTTCCTCGTCATGTTATACATGTTATGTTCTTAACCTTAATGCGGAAAGGTCAAATTGCAAGTGGTTGGTGTTGGAGCTAGGTGTATGTATTTCAGAAAATGGTACATTCATCATATACGTATGATGCTGAAAACTTTTGTTGTACACATAAATCAAAGTAATAGATCTAAATTTAGTGTGGAAATTTACAGTTCTACATCGAATTTGATGTGCAATGAATTTGGGTAGGCTCATCTTCATTTGCATTTTGATCGATGAAGCGTTGTGGTTTAGCGTTTTAGGTAGTCTAAACACATTGATTGTGCCCTTCTTTGGTTTCTTTTAGAAAAGGATCTTGTGGAGACTATAATTATATGTACAGTCATACAAGGGATTTCTTGAACTGGAAGCACATTGTTCATTGATTAACATTTGACTGAGCAAACTGTAACAGGAAATTTGGAATATCCCAACTGATTGCTAATAGTAGGGACTAACATAATGGTAACTTAACCTAGATTTAAGCATTGTTTGGCCATCTGTGTCAGTCTCTTCTAATTTATAAGAGAAAAAGGGGTGGGATAGTTTGGTAACAAAGGTGGTTCAGAAGAAAGTCCCTGGAGAGAAAAAATTAAGTTGTTACTCATGTTGGACATCTACTCAAAACCTTTTAATCATTTCTGATTAACAATTCAGTATGCAAGTTGTAGTTATATATATGAAGTTAAATCTATGCTTGTGTTCTTCATCTCTTCACCCCATATGTTGTAGATTTATTAAGTTACCAAGGTTTTCAATCTGATTGAATATGAAAAACTAATGATTGATTGTTGTTGGCAAATGGCCAAATTTGCAACATTGTAGAATGTTAATTATCTTATTTTTGCGTAAGGTGATATATGTAGACAGTCAAAGTGATGAAACAGTTCTCATTATTACAACATGAAGTGCCCGTATTATTTTTTTCAAATTCTCTTTTAGTTTGTACGAAAAAAGGGACGGGATAGTTTGGTCAAAAGAGGTGGTCCGGAAGTCCTGATGGAAAAATTTAGCTGTTACACATGTTTGTAGTTGGAGCTTCCTGTTCTCATTCTTTGATCTAGTTTTGTAACGTTGGACATTATGCAAAACCTTTTAACCATCTCTGACAAATGGTGAAATAAAATTTATGCTGGTACCCTTCATCCCGTCACCCCATATGTTGTAGGTTTTTTAAGTTACCTAGGTTTTTTAAGTTACCAAGGTTTTCAATCCGATTGAATATGGAAAACTAATGATCGTTGTTGGCAAATGGCCAATTGCGACATTGTAGAATGTTCATGTTGTTATTTTTGCTTAAGGTTATATATATATATATATATATATATATATATATCAATCATAATTGCACCGACTACACTTGCTTCTTCCCCTCTAACTTGTGGCTTTCTTGGCAGTCGGTTCTTGCAGTGCAGAGGTCCATATGCAAAAAGAAGGCATCCACTGGTGGACTCTACTGTAGTATCAGAAATTAGGAGATGTCTTGAGGATGGAATCGAATTCAAAGGAGAACTGCTAAATTTTAGAAAAGATGGTACCCCATTAATGAACAGATTGCGTATGACCCCTATATATGGTGATGATGAGGTAATAACCCATATTATTGGCATCCAGTTCTTCACAGAAGTTGATCTTGATCTGGGTCCACTCCCAGGATCTACGACCAAGGGAAACTTGAAATCATCTGATCTGTTTCGTTCCAGTCTTCTGTCTTGCCGTCTAACTCCAGAAGGGAACCGCAATTCTGGTCGTGGGCTCTGTGGGATACTACAATTGAGCGATGAAGTGCTCTCTCTAAAAATTCTTTCACGTTTGACACCAAGAGATATTGCATCTGTGGGATCTGTTTGCAGACGTTTCTATGAGGTAGCAAAGAATGAGGATCTATGGAGAATGGTCTGCCAAAATGCTTGGGGTAGTGAAACAACTCGAGTTCTAGAGACAGTTCCTGGGGCTAAGAGATTGGGATGGGGTAGATTGGCAAGGGAGCTTACTACTCTTGAGGCGGCTGCATGGCAGAAGCTGACTGTCGGAGGTGCTGTCGAGCCTTCTCGCTGCAATTTCAGTGCGTGTGCGGTTGGGAACCGTGTTGTTCTTTTTGGCGGTGAGGGAGTCAACATGCAACCGATGAACGATACATTTGTACTGGATTTAAATTCTAGTAAACCCGAGTGGCAACATGTGAAAGTTGGCTCTCCGCCACCTGGTCGTTGGGGTCATACGCTTTCGTGCGTGAACGGTTCAAACTTGGTGGTGTTTGGTGGCTGTGGGACCCAAGGGTTACTTAACGACGTCTTTGTGTTGGATTTGGACGCCAAGCATCCATCATGGCGTGAGATCTCTGGGTTGGCCCCACCGCTTCCACGATCATGGCACAGTTCCTGCACCCTGGATGGGACCAAGTTGATCGTTTCTGGTGGTTGTGCAGACTCTGGTGTACTTCTAAGCGACACTTTCTTACTCGATCTCTCGATGGAGAAACCGATTTGGAGAGAGATCCCAGTGACATGGACCCCGCCTTCTCGTCTTGGTCACACGTTATCGGTCTATGGTGGCAGGAAAATCTTGATGTTCGGAGGTCTTGCGAAAAGTGGGCCCCTCAGGTTCCGCTCCAGTGATGTGTTTACCATGGATCTAAGTGAGGACGAACCTTGTTGGAGATCCGTAACTGGAAGCGGAATGCCGGGTGCCGGTAATCCAGGCGGCATAGCTCCGCCACCCCGTCTTGATCATGTAGCCGTCAGCCTTCCTGGCGGCAGGATACTTGTCTTTGGAGGGTCCGTTGCTGGTCTTCACTCAGCCTCACAGCTGTACATTCTGGACCCCACCGAGGAGAAGCCCACATGGCGGATATTAAATGTACCCGGGCGGCCGCCCAGGTTTGCATGGGGCCATAGCACATGTGTCGTTGGAGGTACACGAGCAATTGTTCTTGGAGGTCAAACTGGCGAGGAATGGATGCTGAGCGAGCTTCATGAGCTGTCCTTAGCGAGTTCCGCTATCTAAAATGCAATAAATGTTTGGAAAAGCCTTTGTATAAAAACGATTCAGAGGTGCTTAACATGTCAATACATTTCTTGCACGAGGTACACGGAGGTATGGCCGATTGTGGTGGTTGCCAACAGCGTATTCCGAGAATAAAGGTACGAATTTTGTGAGATTTGTGCACAAGTGTTGTTTAGTACCTTATTTGGAAGTTTTTTTGGTAAGAAGTAATTGACAGATCATAGTAGGGTATTTATATAATTATATACTTAATTAGGTCTTGTTTGCATGATGTAATGTGTTGTGGTTTAAGGTCTTAGAAAACTAAAGTGTTAATGGTGGTGCTTGTATATAGGAAATGACAAATTTATCCTTAACTCTGTACTGAAAGCTGTATTCAGCTCTACTATGCATTTAGGAAGGAACATATCTCATCTCTGAAGAAGCCATCGGCGCCTACTTGTACATGGATTGGTTCGTATTTTGGCCGTGGATGAGAACTTCCTTATGGGTCTGTTGAATGCTCGGTCAGTTGGTTTTCTTCAGGCTTTAAAGGGGTTCGTTTAACCGTTATTTTTATAGATAATATATATACATATTTCTTATATTGGTGCTTTTGTGCATCTTTGAGTATGACTTGTAATATTTGGATGTTGCTATGCATTAGAGAAATGATTTGGATGCTTACGTTACGGATCATATATGACAGATGTTGCTTGTTTGCACACACTCGTTTATGGTTTGTTTGTTTGTTTATTTTATTTCTTTGTTTTGCAAGCTGGGAGCTTTACAGAAACAATCTCTCTATCCCTTAAGGTATATCTTGCCTTTCAGACACTACCTCTGTCTGAGATTTATGGTTGGTTTTTATATAGGAAGATTTGTTCAGGATTGATGCTGTTCTGGGATTCATTAGTACATGACTGCATGTTTTTTTTTATTAACCTGGATATCCAACCCGCTATGCGAGCTGACTAATCCCAGGACGACCACCTGCTTTGCAGATAGCCCGGAGTCACCGCATTTGAACCTCCGTGGCCATAAGGGGATTTTTGTTCTGGGATCTTCAGGTACTTTTGACCTTTGGAGCTAAGCTCAAACTAACCAGGCACCACCCTTGTGGTTGACTGCATGTTTTTTTTGTTCTGTAACTAATGGCGTTTGATACCTTTAGTCCAATTAGTCAACAAATTTACGTAGGATTATTCAAGTCTGAAGGGACTGATTTGTGTTAAGCCTGATGGTAACATGTTGGCCTCTTCGAAAACAGTATATTCATCTCTTGAAACTGACATAAAGTTTGCATACATGTTACCTTCAGATGATAATTTTAGGTTATGGGATATAATGATTTTGTTTGGATTGAGTTTCATTCCAATTTTGAAGCATGCAGTTTCATATTTGTGTTGTCAAAAGACTGATTTTGGTTCAGTTTGAAAGGTCCCAGTACTGGTCTGTGTTCAAAAGGATGCTTCAGTTGGGTCTAAAGCCTGTTACAGACCAGACCTGACCAACCATAGCCATGGACCCAAGTGGTTGGTTAAGGGTTAGTTTTCGAACTCCGTACAATCTTTTTCTTATTTTTATTTTTTATCACAGTTTTCAGTTGAAAGTTGAATTTTATGAAACAAATTAAAGGATTTACATTTGCATTTTTTGATCTTGTGTGTATTTATATTTGTGCACATGTATTTTTCTGTTTTCAAATTTAGAGTTCTTATATGTATGTAGGGATGTTCCCGGTCCTGTTTGGGCGTGTTTAACCCCCCAAAACCACAAACTAAATCACAATGGCGGTTTAAGAAAATTTTCAAACCGATCGGTTTGACAACAAAGGACCAAACAAAGGCGATATGGTATGACTGGTTTAGGTGGTTTGGGCCTCTTATTGGTCTTAAAACTAAAAAAAACATAATATTTATATCAAAAATGAAATTTCTATCCATATAATATTATTAAGAAATAATATACCGAGCTAACTTGGTTTGAACGGTCCAATAGTTTTTATACATGTGTATATATAAAATATCTGTGATTTTAAATTAATTAGAAGTTGTTTGACAATTGTTGAATGTTTTGGTGTAAAATGATTAAGTGGTCAGAATGATTAAGAAGCTCTTATGATATAGTGCAAAATGAAATATAATTGTTTGATAATTGTGTATAATGAAATTATGACTCTTAATGGTTAAGGGAGATCTATGATACAAAATCATTTAGAGGGTTTTAGAATCATTAAGAGGCGGACTTCGTTTTTCATCAAATAAGATTCATCTCTTAACGGTTCAAAAGTTGTCTCTTAATAAAATTATTAAGAGGTAAATAAACAACCCCTCTGTTTTTTATGATAAAAAAAGTACACGACTTAAAAAAGGAAAAGGGGTCTTATGCAAAAAGTTTCTTTCCTGTGGAGCGAATGTCATCTTTGATAAAAATTGAAGAATCAACAATGTACATATTTCATCCCTGGACTATTCATTAACATCCGTGCTTGCTTCATTTGAACAAATTTTCATGTTTGACCCCAAATAATCGATTTCATTTCATTTTGGTCCTTCCCCAACATTGATCAACAAGTGTCATGGATAGCACAATTTATTACCTTAATTTTGGGATATTTTGTTCAATTATGAATCTTCCTCAAGGACTCATTTGACAATTGCCGTAATTTGCCATCCCAAAAGGTCAAAACCACCGGTTCGACTCAATTATGTATCTCTGCATATGCTTTCATTGTACCATGTACCACCACCATCACTGTCGCATTTGATTTTGCCATCACCGATTAATGATATTATTAAGATTAGAAAAGTATTTGTGTTATGCAGCGAGATACATCTCGATTTTAATTCTCTATTTTATTATTTGTCTCTGTTGATGTTATAATACGATTTTATGTGTTTTTAAGAAAACAATAATGATTTTATTTTTAAATAAAATATAAATTTAAAGATATCATAAAAATTTGAAAAAAATACATATCAATGTTAATATCAAATCAACTATTTAAAAGTTTTTATTTTTTATGTAATTTCTTTAATTTATTTTTTTATTTTTTATTATAATTTAATTTAAGTTTAATAACGGAATAATTTATTTTTGGTTTAATAATACAACATTTTATAACGATAATAATTAAGTATTCTGTTAGAACTCAATGATTATCCTAATTATATTTTAGATTTTTTATATTTAAAATGAAATGTTTATCCTTTATCTATAGTTAATTACACGAATTTAGATATGAAGCTTTAATAAGTTGTACTTACGCACAATCTATTTGCAATCTTGAGTTTTAAGTAATATGCATTAATAAACAGTACTTTACGCATAAAAAATGATTTTTAAGAGTTTTTGTCAAATGTTTTTATAATATAGTATAGATAAGGTGAATGGTACTTTGAACACCCGAAAATATCCATTCCAAAGTGACAAGAGCAAAAAATTAAGAAAAAGAATAATAACAATATCTCATTCTATTTGTCGGGCTATCGACCTAAACCAGAAGCATTTATAAATGCTATAACAAAACGTCGTAAGAAAATATCTCGAGAAATCTACCTAGTTTCTTTGACAAATTCCTCTGTGTTTCTTGGCAAATAAACGTGTGTTCAAACCTAATTAAATTCAAATCAAATTCCAGTTCTTTTGACATAATCCAGTCATTCCAGTAACTTTATTTATTAAAGTTATATGTCAAATTGTCAATGCATTTAATAGAAACGAGATGAAGGACTAAACTGCATGTTAAGGAATAGTTAAGGGACTGAATTTGAAAAATTAGAAAAAGAAAGACAAAGATACCACCAACCAAGCATCTCCCATTCTCTATCTCTTGAGAGTGTGTGTGTGTGTGAGAGAGTGTGTGAGTGTGAGTGTGTGTGTGTGTGTGAAGCTGCTGCAACTCCATATTCTCCAAAACCCTTTGCTCTCTGCTTCGAGATTCTCACTTCACTTTCACTCATCCCCATAATCAAATCGAACCCTTTATCTATAATTTTTCAAATCGACATTTTTTCTCCATCTTTTATCTCAAAATTCCGATCAAACTTTGCTGTAAAAACTTCAAATTTCAAAATGCCGATCAACAAAGAACCGGCGACGCCGCCGATGATCGGAAAGATCGGTCCTTACACCGTCTTCGTAACTCCACCTCCTACCCCTAAACCTTCATCCGAACCTTCTATTGCGTCGGTTTCCGAATTGCCGAAGAGAAAGAACGTTTCGCCGTCGCCTGTGAAATTCTCTCCCCCGATTCAGCCGCCGGTGGCGAAATCCGCCCCTCCGGTGCTCCCTCCGCCAGTTCAGTACGAGAAGTCCGCCTCGGCCTACGACTCCAAGTACGGTTTCTTTTGGGATGCCGTCGCTAAAGTCCAGAACGGTATCGTTTAGTTTTGTTCTTTCGATTTTTGAATCTATTACAATTAGTGGGAACTGGTAGATGAAATTGGTTTTTGGTAGATTCAACTGAGATTTTGTTTGCTAACTGCTGAATGTGTTGTTATTGCTATTCAGACCAAATCTAAATAATGCCTGCCAATTGAAGCTTGAAACGGTTATATATATACACACACACACACACATATATATATATATATATACATATACATGTGTGTGTATATACAGGAGCAGGTTGATACGAGAACACTAACTATTTAAGAAAACAAGAAAAAGATCGTTAACGTGCAAAATCATATATAATCCACCTACAAAATCATACCCGTTCACAAGTCCCTGCTTCCATTTTTTTGACATTAATGTAAATTCACATGTGATTTTGTACATTAACTACCTTTTTCTTGTTTTCTTAAATAGTTAGCATTCTCGTTTAAACCTTCCTCTCTATAAATATGCAGTGATCAACTGTATTTGATGCATAATAATTGGTTTGTAAGGCTTTATCCAAAATTCTTCATAATAAAAGGGGTCATCTATTTAAAAAAAATTAAAAGAAGGTGCTTATTCTATAACTGAATGTGATTAATGATCGGTTAGTTACATTAATTCAAACATGAAGCTTTAAGAAGTTGTACTCATGCTGATGTACTATTAACATGTACCCTTGAATTTTAAGTAATATGCCTTGGTGCATAATAATCGGTTTTCTAGACTTTTACCCAAATGAGTTATAATATAGTATAGATATTCGACTAATTTTGCATTCGTATAACAGCACATTCAAGTTTGGATGAGTATGTGGCTCGTTGGTTTGGGCTAAATCAATCGAAATATCAATGGGCTCTCGACGATTATTACGAAAAGAAGGGAGTGGTAAGCTTTTGGGGTTCGTTTATTTTCAATTATCTGGTCGACTGTATCAATTTCTACTCCCAAAATGATTGAATTTTAGTACAATATGATACGATAAGGATGCCCGTGAGTTGATTTAGTATGCCATCCATGATCCATCCAAAGTAAATGTCCACAATGAAAAACGTAGTTTTAGAAGTGTGTAATTATTACCTATTTTAATCAACTAAATGACAATTTACCCTTGATGATAAAGGGAATGATGAATTTCTTCATCTCATAATTAAGGGTACAATTGGAAAGTAGGCAMTTACTACTGAAAACGGACAATTATTTTGAGACAAACTAAAATAGAAATGTGGATAGGATGGAGGGGGTGTATTATAGTGGGTCAACATCTACATTCTACATTAAGTAGGCAAGGTGCAATCATGCATCCCATGGTCCACATTCAACTACATTTTCTAGATGGCTTTTATAGCTGTTTGAACATCAAATAGTTTATTGCATGTCAGAAACACAACTTAGGGGCCGTTTACTTGAACACTTACCCGGTAAGCGCTTACATGTAAGAATCAAGACTCTTACTTACCTTCTCGGGTAAGATTCTAGTCCATCAAAACGGCATTGTATGCGACAATTTACCCGGTAAGTGCTACAAGGGTAAGAGTCGTCACCCTCACTTACTGGGTAAGACTCTTGGTTTATATCATTTTTAAAACGATACTAACGAGCACCCCACATTTGGTTTGCTTTTTTGTCGTTTCTTCATGTGGTTGAAAGCACCTCTGTTTTTTGTTCATCATCTTAATGTTTTATCCCGGTAAACATGATCAACTGCAGGACCACGTTGATGCAAAAGTTAAGGATGCATCCACCAAAGCACAAAGTGTGTAACATGCTTCTTGGGCAGGTAAATTATTCAACAGTTTTTAGGTTTCATTTAAATTCGTAGGTCTTATCATCTTATATATATATATGTGTGTGTGTGTGTGTGTATAGAGTCTATGAGAACGGTAACCAATCAAGAGAATAAGAAAACGGTTGAATCACATGTGATTTTACACTAAAATCACATGTGATTCATGTGACTTTGTCTGCGACTTGAGGTCGTGGGCCATGTCGCCCTTTGCGTAACCGTTAGTGATTTTGCACATAATTTAGCCGTTTTTGTGTTCTTCTATTTAGTTCCGTTCTCGTTTGAATCTCCCTCTATATATACATGGATTGTTAGGATAAGTAGAACCCCGTTGTATATGTATATGTATACAGGTTTGATGTTTTGTGTCTAGTTGACGTGAGATTCCAACATGGATCGTTATATATTTACTACTTGAATGATGCATATTTTTTTTGCAGGATAGATGTTGTGCAAGGCACCTGGAGAACCCTTTTTGATTATGCTGTCTATATTTCAAAATATCACATAAAGTCTGATTTGCTTAGTGAACGGTTGGGATCAAATCTCCAAATTTACGACCATCTTTTACTACTTTTGTACGCAGAGGCTCGGCAATCTTATTACTGTGACCAGTATGAAGCATGTAACCTTTTCATTTACCATGTTTTCTGTTGGCAACTGCCAAAACGTAGGCCTAATTGCTGGAGTTGAGTTGCATGTAAACGCGTTTCTTTTCTGTTGTATCTGCATTTCGATTTTCAGTTAAAAGTGAATTTAATGTGCCATTTTGTGGCCTTCCTTGCAATTGTTTCTGCTTTCTTTCTACGCGGCAGAAGCTTCGCCTGCATTTCCAGATCGGTTGATGGATGGAACTCTTGTGGCCGGTCGGTACAACAACGGTTCTTTTTTCTAAACGGAAACAATCAACCGTTTTAGTCTTTGGATTAGAGGTCAGTTTTTTACCAGACATTTGGAGGTTTATTTGTGAAATGATGATTTGGCTGCCCCATTGTTATACTTTTATGCATTACAAATGTTACAGTAGCATGCAACATGCAGGTATGTACAGTGGAGATGGGCAAACCGGTAACCGGTTACGGTTACAGTTAAGGTGACAGCCAGAAGTAACCGGTTAAGCCGGTGCTGGTGCTGGTACTGGTACTGGTACAGTTACAGTTAGAACTCTTATGGAAGATGCTTTGCTTCCCACAAAAATAGCAGCAACATAAGTCATTTCAAGAACCCCCAATGCAACTCCTAAACATCTGCATATATAACTCTTAAATCATACCATTTTCGTTTTATGAATTTGTAATTTTGTCGTGTGACGATTAGGTAATTAATTAATCCGTATTGGACCCATTTGCGATGCAAGCGACTTGATTCCATGAATCTGGTCTCCTTCAATATCGGGGATGTCCTATTACAAGAACGATCAAGTTAGTAACAAGAAGTATCAGATCCAAACTGGACGAAAACTTGTTGTTTTACGTTTGACGTGATATCAGGCTGGAACATGACAGTACTGAGTGAAACAAAAATGAATTTTTTTTTGTACCACCAAGATAAAGTAGAACAAATATAAGGAAATTTTATGAGATAAGTTGAATAAAGTGGCCATGCCAAATTAAGTCTATATAACCTTCTAAAATTCTTTCAAATTGACTACTAACTCTTACCTGACTAGTCTTTGGGGCCGTTTACCAAAAACTTACCCGATAAGTACTTATCGGTAAAACTCAACACTATTACTTACTCAACGGGTAAGATTTTAGTTTACCAATAATTATTTAATAATTTTTTTGGTCATTTAAATAATTATGTAAGTGTTTTAAATTAAAAACTAATTTAAATATAACAATTTGTCAAAAGAAATTCTCTTAAAGCCCACAGCCATGACTTTAGAAAAACCATTAAAGTCCAAATGTATCAATAACAGGCCCATAAGAGTCTAGGCCCATACTTCAAACAAAGATGGCAGCCCATAATTTTTTTAGGCCCAGGCCCTGTTAACATAAAATTTTTAACGGGTCCAGCCCAAAAACGGACGTTACCTTTTCTCGACTCGTCAAAAAGCATAATCTAGAGTAGAGATGGTCAAAATGGGCCCGAAATCGGGACATGTTACAAACCGACGTTGGCTCAGACAAAGGCAAAAGAGTGTCTATCCGATATGGTACTCCAATACGCCTCTTAAACCGAGACAAAAGAATGTTGAGTACATAGATGTGGTAAACGATGGCTCTTATGTGATTTTATCACATATGAAACCCTTTTGAATCTATCTTTATAAATAGTGTCGTTTTAGTGCAAAAGGGTGTTACGACATGCATACATATTTTATGCTATATGTTTAGTCGATGCAGGACTCCAATAATACATATGTTTGTAAATAAAACTACGTTTAAAACTAAGGGGCCACTTTATCCAAACGCTTACCGATGAGAGTCAACACTAGCATTTTATGATTTACCTTACCCAGAAAACTCATGTCTTTTCCTTTAAAGAGGTTTAACCATCGTAAAAAGGTTGTTTTTATAAAAGGCACTAATTTAATGGAGGTTTTAGGTGAACATTTAGGTGTCGTTTATCAAACACTTACCCGAGTAAGCGCTTACCAAGTCATTTTACTTTACCGGATGAATATGACAATGACTAAAAATCTTACTAGTAAGAGCGAAGGCAAAAATCGAAAGTCTTACCCGATAAGTGAGGACGATGACTCTTACCATGATTAGTGTTTACCGGTATATAATGTTGCATACGATGCGTTTTAGTGAATAAAATTTTACCCAGTAAATAAGCAATATTGTTAAATTTTACTGATAAATACTTATCAAATCAGTGTTTAGGTAGACGTCCCTTTAATCCATCATTGTGGTATACAGTACATTGTACGGAATCAATCATTCATGTTTGATAATTATTACTGTATCTATCAAATCATGTCGCATGTGTGGACCTAAGTGCAAAACCAAGGGGACCCCGGCTAATAATAACCTAACAATCTTTAAAAATTACATTTTTAACCTTAAATTTTATAACTTTTAAAATTTAACCATGTTTTATTCCTTTAGCATCAATGGGTGCGTACGGGGACCAATTTGTTAAAAAAAAAATCATTGATTTGACAGCCTATCCATGAAGTGACCCAAGGTTGACCAACCTTACCCACCGGCTGGTACGTGGTGCGTAAGGGGCCCACCTGCCACGACTTTTTTTTTTCTTCAGTTTTTTGCGCCTTGTCGATACAACACTATTTAATTTTGTCTTCCCTCGTTTCAACCTCACTATATAAACAATTCAAATTTTTTATTACCAACACAAAACCAACACTTTCATTTTCAACACCTTAATACAATCTTTATTACCGAAATTAAATCGTCTACATTATGATAAGTCTACTTATATTAATATTAATATAATCTCATTTTTACAACAATTTTTTATATGTTGTTTTTGTAACCTCTTTATCTTATATCTATCAGGGGGATTATTATGAAACATTTGTTAATATAAAATTAAATATTGAAATTTTAAATACAATTTTGAGGGCATTGCGGAGGTCGGGAAACAGACTAGAAATGTTTAGGAATACTTGCTTCGGTTATTGGCTTGATATTCGATCAACACATCAAGATCCGATGCTCGTGCATTTGATGTTACAAATGCAGGTGCCACCACTAGAGTAAGACCGTAAAGAGACATTGTATTTTAATGGTGGATGACGTCTTTTACGTTTCGGGAGAGAAGAATTTTGTCTCATTACTGGTATGAAATTTGGCCCGAACAAGCCTTCCTCACCAGAGATAATAGAGTCGTCCTTTAGAACTCGGGTTTTAGACTTTGATGAAAATCGTCCGGTATGCAGAAGTGATCTTACCCGAGTTTTTGAACTACAAAAATTCGGAAAAATAATAGACATTGATGCAGTACGCCTATGTCTTTTGCTTCTAGTGTCCATTGAATTTATCGGTCAACAAACGAACCATATAGTTTCTAATGACTATTTATTGTTAGTCGAAAATTTGGATGTAACATGTATTTTTTTTATACGGTATTTTTTTTCCGTTGTATTCTATAGTTTTATTACAAATATTGTAGTATTGATCTATAATACTTTTATGACACAATTAACCATGGGGTAATAATTTTTGGGAGTCCCTATACTCTCAACTTAATGATGCGTTACCAAAACGTGAAAAAATCTGAACGCAAATGCAGATACACATTATCTGTATTCATATTTGCATTCAAGGTAACTTTTAACTAATTGTTTACTAACTGTAAAATAACAAAGTTATAATTAAATTAAATTGTTTACTAACTATAAAATAATAAAAATGTAGACATGTATATTGGAAGCATTTTCACATGCTTCGTTTTCTTATGGTTTACGAACCGATAAAGTCATCCCTAGGACATGTGCCTGACCACGCACGAAACAATTTCTATGACATGATTGTTTTAGATACATACATGTCGATGATATCGAGGACGTGAGTTTGACCAACTTATCTCGAATAATTTACTTTATTAACTGTAACTAAACACTTAAATGAATATTTTATTTAGGAGAGCTTGTTCCCACGTACTATGTTAACACCTACTGACGTGGAGCTACAGTGTCCATGGTGGAGGTCAAGTTCTCGTTATTTTCAAAGGATTGCAAAGAAACAGATGGTGCATCGAGTTCGTCAGCGTCACAACCGTCTGATGATTTGACAGAATATATTGAAAAATCCAATCGTAGTATTCAGAAAACTATTAAACTTGTTTACAACGAGGCCGTCGATCCAATGGTTGCTTAAATGCACATAAAAACCCTACTTGAGCAAATCCAATTCTCAAATGATGCCATGAATGTATATATTTTTAATTTTTAATTATATATTATTCAACATGATTTAAATAATCAACAATTTCAGGAGCCTGAACAGTCTCAACATTTTCATCACCGTAAACTGTCTCAACAATTTCAACAGCCTGAAAACAATCAAGGCTTTCAACATGAAAATAATTTCTATCAACCGAATACAACTCCTGGAGATGATGATTATTATCAACCGATTTTTCCCCCGAACCAAATTATGTTGATAACACTGCATTGTTTATAATACCGGAGCAGATCCAACCTTTGCGCTAGAAACTCATCACACACCCGTGTCCGATGGTGAGATCTCCATATATGTCATTATCGGATTCAACACCTACATACAAGGCCCCTAAAAGGAGGACTGAGTTAAACATCTTGGAATTATATACGAATAATAAGCTAGAAGGACTCAAAATACCTCCTTTCCAATGTAAACCATGGGGTATGCACTATTAGAAGACGGTTGGTTCGATACAGTTGTAAGCAATATTTATTCTTTTTATTTACGATAATGTTTATTTACAAGTTATTATTTTATTTTTCTGAGTCAAGTGTTCTTTTAACATCATGTTGATACGTAGGCACATTTGCAAATGAAAGAGAGATCTGACGGTTTACGACGTACGATCTTATGGTCCCAGGAATTACAGTTTATGTCACAACCTGAACTACAATATCTTAATTTGATGGATGACACAAAAAAATACTATCCGCCTTGGTGGTTAGTTGATGAGGTAAGAAATAGTTAATATATGAAGCATTTCCAAATAAATATTGATTTATAAAGATCCATTAATTTTTTTTTGTAGGTGTTGGTCCCAAAAGGGTCTACAAGAATACTAAACAGTTTGTAGAAGGGGGGGGGGGG